AAAAAAGAAACACGCTGTAAAATCCTGTAGTCGTGGGATTTTCAACTTTGAATGTGCCTACGGCTGAGCATCCCAGTGATTGCTTACCTTCAATCTATCTCCTCTTCTGCAATTTCCCACTAATCTTCCCTCAACTATCATCTTCAATTTGCTGAAACTGCCACTGTCTCCCCTCCATCCCTTTGTCCACAGTAGATATTTTGTCTGTCCTAGGTTTTGTCAATCTCAGGACTGAACTCTCTTTATTTTGTTGTAGATTGTTGTTTTTTCATTTGAAATCTCTCTTGTGTATAATTGTTTCACATACGTAAATAAAGCAACTTCTACACCTGTCCTGTTGCTTCACTCATCCATCGTCTATTCTTCCTTCTGTCCTCTCTTTGTAAATACCTTAAAGCATTTGAAGACCTTACTGTAATGATGCTAAGCATATTAGCCTAAGGAGTCACACATCAGCACCATATGCTACCCCTCTTAAATAGCCTTGTTCACTTTACCCTTTTCACCTTCTGCATCAGTTTGCCATTACATCACTTGATTTGTGGTTAAACATAAAAATGGTAAAGAAAGAAAGCATAAGCATTTTTTTCAAATATGATAAACCAGTCATAAAAAAGGCCAGTCACTGCAAGTACCAACTGAGCCAGTTCAGCCAAGACTCCTTCTTTAAACTAATAGGAAATAATCAGTTGTGGCTTTTTTTTTTTTTTTTTTTTAAGAAAATTAGTAGCAAAAGATATCATGACTTAAAGAAGGTTAATTTTTCTGTAGTTCATTGTCACAAAATACTCTAATCTTTCAATTTTTAAGAAAAAAATTGCAAAGAATGGTCCTTCTACAATGTCTAATAACTCTTATTTCAGTCTGATCAAGTATAAATCTATCACTACTCTTTTACAACCACTACGTAAAACAGCCACAGTAATATCTGAAATGTATGGTTTCTTTTGAGATCATAGCATGATAAAAGGTTATAAGCATATTTAAACAGCTTGTCTCTCTATTTTTTTATCAGTTTATATGTCATTTCTGACCTTATACAACCACTATGTGAAAAAGCTTGTTGCAGCTCATCACTTCCCTGAAAACAATGGCTACCTTAATTATGCCTTTCTGCATAATAACAACTTCAACAATCAAATATAAACTATGCTACTGTATAATGTCTAAGCATTATAAGTTTACGGGACAACCTTCGCAGAGTTCTGTCACAATGTCACAGTCATTTTACACACATTCAGAAAACTCCACACAGACTTGAACCAAATGTTCGACAACACAGTTACCTTGACAAACCCAAGGCTGAGACTTTCCCTCATTTACTTTCTCTGCTCTCAACCTCTCCACCCACCTAAAACATCAGATAAGGCGCAGACTGATGAGCCAGCCGCCTCCATCAGGGTGTGTGGTACTGGGGGACCGCACACTGATTTCATACATGCTCGCTCAGACAGAAAAAGAGCTCTGTGGAGCAGAAATGCTTCTCTTATTAGCAAAACCCATTCACCTGCATGCTACATTTAGTCTGTGGCAATTTCACAATAAATCATCACAGAAGCCCACAGAAGCCAGGCAGCAGGCTGACGCTTTGCCGTGCCCTCGGCTGTCAGTTTAGAAACTCTGAATCATTTCAGGTTCAGCGGCCGCATTTCAACTTAGATGAACTAAAAGGTCATCTCACACGCCTCCTGACCAATACGTCTCTGGCCTCTCATCTCCCACTGCTTCCATTGATTGCTCATTCAATTTAGAAATACCACACCTTAGTGGAATATTTCACTGGAGAGCAGGGGAGGGATTTCAAGGAACTGTTTCAAGAAGCAGAATTAGCACTGCCTTAAAACTCTTGCTCTTTTGACTTAGGTCATAATTTTAAAGTGAGGGTGTGATTCAGCAGTGAGCCATTCATCTCTGTGGCATTATTTTATTTGTCAAATCATTCATGAGATTGTGATCAATATGTACCCAGGTTTGGTCCACTGTGTCAGGTCCTGGATTGCAGGCAGTAATTGTTGCACTCAAAGCCGTCAGACAGTCTGGATTGTTGCCCGGTTTGGCCCAGGTCCAGTCTAGTATCCACTGGTGTCTCATCTGCCTAAACACCTTGAAGCTTTACTGGCTGGACAATAGTTGAACAATTTGTACTGCCAATATCTGAGCTAGTTAGTTTACTTCAGACCTTAGGGTCACACTGTCCACTTTCCCTTTTGTGCTGTAACTAAATGAAGGCAGTTAAAGGGTTTATCCTGACACATTGGTAGCACAGTCATGCTGAAAGCAAATGGGTCATTTTTGTTAACAGACCAACTTCCTGTATAAATGTGGGCTTCCAGAGTTGCTGACAGAGACACTTGCAGGACCGAGCCATGCCCTACTTAACAGGCTGCAGGGAGGAGAGCGGACCGAAGTTGTCAGCAGCACTATAGGTGCTCACCACTTAGATAAACCTGGAGGATTAGTGGCCCAGTTAAAGTTGGGGCAAAGAGGATTAGCTTCTTCTCTGAGGTGGCAAGAGATTCCTCGGATCCTTCGGTGCTGCTGGACTTAGAGAAGGAGGAGGCGGAGAAGTTATGTGAGAAGTGAAGACAGCCGTGTTGCTTATAATAATAAATAATAATGTGTATTTTGCCAAAATTAAATGTGTAGTATGAGCAAATGTTTTTTTACTTTTGTAAAGAAGGTTTTAATTCAAAGCAAGCATGTAGCTCCATATCAGCTCCCTGCAAAGGTTGCTGCATCCCAACAAAGTTCATTGTCCTGGTCTATGAGCATGTTAATATATTTTGTTATAACAAAAGTTCACATATAACTTTGGGTGTTACCCTTTAAAATATATACATATTAGATCTAACTCAGTGGTTCCCTTGCACTTTAGCTTGTATCCCCATCTTGACATCACAAATTTCTGGTGAACCCAGAGACATTTTTTTCTAGAATTAGTTTTTGATATTGTTTGTTATACTGTGTTGCAAACAAAGAGTGGAAGTGAACTAATACTGTTTTTCAAGATTGTCTATGGTGTTTTAACCACACTTTTCAAAGAATAATAATTAATAACGTTGAAAAATATTTTATTAGATTTTTTTTTTTTTTAATTACTGGACATTTCTGGTGACACCATTTAAATTTGAGGCAACAACACATGGGGTCATGACCCATAAGGTTGAAAAACGTTGATCTAATGTCAGCAGCATTTCATCACTATAAGTCAAGATCACTAAGAAAAGAAAAAATACAGACAGAGCATAGGATCAATGTGCACAAATATCATAAATATGTGCTATAATAGACTCAGGGCTTCTGCTTGATTCTACTGTTTGTTTGTTTATTCATTAATAAATAAGTCTAATTTAAGTTATTATTATTTTGGAAATAATTTTTGGAAATAATTTTTGGAAATTATTTTAAACAAAAAACATGAATACTTTAATGCCACGTTTAAGTGCCTTTACTTACAAACATTCTTTGTTCTTTTAGGTTCTTCTTACTTTTATTCTCCACCGTGTCAGTTCAAATGTTAGTTTTCTAAAACTAGTTGTAAAAAAAAAACCCACAAGATGAAAGGACTCCATTCTCTTGTAGAGGTTGATCTAAACCACGGGTGTCCACTCTTTTTGCCTTGAGAGCTTCTTTTCAAATGACCAGGCTAAAGTGTTCTACCTACGTTGAAAACTCTAAATACATATTTACTCATATAAACTGAATATCTAATTATTTACATTATACTTTTTGACTCAATATTGGTATGATCCTTACATTAACCCTAGTTTTAAATGTAATTGCTCAGGATCTACCATGTTTAAAACATTAAAAATTTAAACATCTGTTTATTATAAATGTACTAGTTATTTTTTTCTTAAAGTGATCAAATTAATTGTGCATAATTGTATGATTTATTTCTAAATGTTTTGTTTTATTCACTAATGAAATTCAGAAAGTGAACATTGTATGATGATCACCGATGTAAAAGTTGTCTATGTTACAGGTGCTTTTGCACAAATGTTGCAAGAAAACCAAAATGTAAATACACAGTGACACAGGTGTAAAATATAACATTCAAAATATTTCACAAAAAAGTTTATTATATATGATCTTACCTGTGGTAATACAGGTAAAAGAGAAGAGCTGACTCAATGAATTGTTATTTCAGCTTCTGTAGCAAGGACTCTGTTTGTAGAATGTGAAACATCCTTGGGTTGACTTGCTTTAATGACCTGACTACTTAGAAATGCAAGTGTTCAAGGATCCTTCTTGACTTTGAGAAACAGCCAGAATTACCTCTCATTGAGTGGAAAATGAAAGGTAAGGAGTTACTATTAAAGGTGAAAAGCAATGAAGCGCTAAATTGATACTAGCCTGTGGTTTCATTACAAAGGCAAAAAAGCCCATAATTATGGGCCAGGTGTTACAGACAAGGTCAAGGAGATCTGAGATTCACAAAAAAAAAAAAAACATCAAGTCAACTGCCTTCTGTAAAGTGTAATTTATTATAGAAACACGTTAACAGTTAACGTTGATAATGAAATATTTACAGCTGCAGCAGAAAAAAATGGCTCCAGTCTTCATGTACAAGGGAACCAGTTGTTGTAACTCTTGCTCTTCCCTTATGAGAGATGTGGGAGACAAGGCAGAGGAATTAAGATCTTTGCTGCCACCAGTAGGCCAGAGGACGAACTGTAACTGGTAATTTAAAATTATAAATATAACTTATTGGAAGATTTTGAGCTAATATATTGTATTTGTAAATTGAATTAGTATCATTTTTTGTTAATGGTAATTATAATTATTAAACAGAGCCATCTCTTTTGCACTAAGTCTTGATATTTAGTTTAGTACCATTAACATACTGTAATATCAGTTAATAAGCAATTAGGCCTTTTGAGTTTAATTGAATTTCGCTATCCTATAAAAAAAATAATGTAAGCCTTATAAATAAAGTTATAATCTTTCAAAACCAATGTCAAATAATTAATAGTTATATTTTCTTTGGATACTGAACATTTGAAGCCCCTACATGTACATTCATTTCTGAGTCCATTTGGGTACCTTTATATTCAAAGATTGTATTCAGGCAGCCAGCTCCACATTGTATAAATAAGATTGCCTTTATTTTTCTGCGCTGAAATGTGCAAACAATACAAATTGCACAGACATGTCTCTTTATACAACCAACGTAAACAGAGTGAACAATGACCTGTGACCTTCAGAAGGAACAAATTAGTCCAAATGAAATCCATGGTCTGTTTTGCCCTTAATCAATCCCTGTCGTGCTGTAGTGTAACAACGTGAATATACGCATTCATACAGTAGAGACACATAGGAAATAGATGCTCTATAGGGCAATGAGCCAATTGCAACAAAAGTACTGCAGCAAATAGAGGAAAGTACATAATGGCAAGGCCCCAGAGTTGATTATGCAAATACCCCAGCTGCAAAGGAACAATAACTTTGGAAATTCAAAGACAAGACATAACACGGAAGGCTATTGTCTCACGTTTGCCCATTTGCTTGACAACTACAACCTGCTCATCATGCCCATTTTGTTGCAAACAATGTCTTTGTCTTCATATAATGGTGCGCACATCAGAAATTAGCACAGTGTATTGTTTCAGTTAAAATGGAAGCTGCACAGCCTGAGACTTTGACAATAATAAAACTGTTTGATACAAAAATGTAAAATAAAAAATAAAAGTTATTAATATCCTGTTTTACTATATTTACCAAACACCAAGCTTAAAACATTGAATCCTACATATACAGTCTAAAATGTCTTTACTTATTATATACTGACCTCAGGTAATATGTATAAGCAATTAAAAGCTGACATACATGAAGCTACGGTACTACTTTTTTCCCCAAGCATTTCCTGAATAAAAACGTTGTCCTGAAAAGAACAAAAAACATTTGTCCAGAGAAGTTGTTACACTTCCTAAGAATACAATACAACTACTGTTTGGTAAACCTATTTAACACATTTAATAATGTGATCAGAATTATATTCTAGATCCAGTTTTTTTTATTGCATTTAAAGAAAACATTTCCACAGAAATATAGCGTTTGTATCTACATAGTTCTGTTACAAACCTCTCTAAAAACTGTATTTATTATATATCAGTGAAAAGCTTTTGTTGTCTTGTTTAAAATGCTAATATATCATACAGAACTTATGCTGTATATCTTGCTATAATGAAACCCATAATTATGTTTTCTGCAGCTCTATGCTTAGAATAGAGATGACTAAACACTGACTCTCTAATCCCTGAGTGATCAGCTCCTAAAGACAATGACCTGTATTGATACATTAGCCTAGATTTAGTTTAAAAATATATCTTATCACTAATGCCCCATTTTCTTAATTTCTGTGAGCATAAGGATTTAAATTTCCTATTTTTTTTTTTCATATCTTGATTGAATTATCTAAAGACTTTGTCCATTCAGTGTCTTTGTGTGCTCTTAGATCTGTCACCTACTGCACTCTGTGACTGAGATTTTTATGAAACCTGGTTTGGAGTGGAAGGCATGTGCAAATGAGTGCACTGATTGACTAAACTGTTCCCAGGAGAGCCTTGTCACTGATGCTGATAGCTCTCTGCTGCCTCTTTTGCGAGAAGTACTGGTGCTGTGTAGTTATCAGCGTCGTCGTGTCAGGGGCTCCATCTCTATCACTGCCTCACGACCTTTACTTAACTCCACCACCCGTGGGACCACTGTGGACCAACGGTCTGGAAGAAGATAGAAAAAGGAGTGGTTTTTTTCAGCCTGAGTGACAGAAAGACATCAACCACACCAACAGGCCACTTTATTAGATACACTTGTGTGGCTCTTAGTTGTTGCAAATATCAATGAAGGGAACTTAATGCCTTTAGCTGTGGCAGCATGAAGTGACCGGTAAAGGTAATTACTGTTGACACTGTTTTCGTGATGACAGCATGGCAAGAATCTCACCTCTCCTTAACCCACGGTTCTGCTGCAGCGCATTGGTTTGGCTGGTCTCACTCTTACCAGGGTCCTCGTTGATTATAGCCAGGTTCTGATTCCAGTGACACCAGTGAACCTCATCCACTCTGGTAGGAATTGACAATAGAGTGATTGTCAGATTTCACTGAAGTGGTTGCTTGATGAGTGACAGCGATATTGATTTGTCCACAATACCTAAAGCACCAGCGACGGTCAGGTGTCCCATCCCAGTTCTTCCCAACAGTCACCATCTCACCAGCTCGGAATGACTTGCGGAGACAAACTGGAAATGATCGCTCAATGTCCAAGATAGTTTTTGCCCACTGTGGGTGAAAATTATTTAAACACATATTTAGCCTGTTCACTTTTACATCCACTGCTGCTCACTGTATTAGCTGGATGACTATTAAATGATAACTCATGTGAATTCTGATGACTATAATACTAATCATGTTATGTAGCTGCTGAAAGAGAAAATAAATAATAACAATAATAATAATAATTGTTATTGCTCACCATCCATTTTAAACCACCATGCTAAAGTGTAAATTAAAATAATGTTTTGTCTCCTGTTTTCACCCTGTCTAATTATAAGGTCAACGTTTTAAATTAATTTTACAAGTACTATCTACTAAATTAACATATAGGCCTAATTAAGGACCATTTATAAAAAATAGAAAGAAGTGAATAACAACTCTATGGATACATGACCATCTTGACAGACAGGACTACCTACTAAGAGTAGAGTCACTAACAGGCTGTCATCAATTTTTTGCACTGTGCATTTTTATGAATACATAGCATTGTTTTTTGTTTGTTTGTTTTTTTAGTTTTTTGTTTTTTTTTGCCATTTTTATTTGACTTATTTGATTGATTTGATTTTGGCTGAAGTGATAAAAGTTCTAAATGATAGTGATCATTCATAAAGTCCACTTTACCTGAAGCTTCCAGATCTTCTTGCTTTCCTTAGACACTTGTCCTACTGTCTCCCCCATCAAAGCGATCAACATGTTGAGCAGCAGCACAAAGGTCAGGATGATGTAGGTCACCAGTAGAATGAGGAAGACTGCAGGGTACTGTGCACTGTGGATCATGTCTAGTTCTCCCATTCCGATGGTCAGTTTGAAAAGATCTAGCAAGAAGGCACTGAAAGTGTCTGGGTCCCTGCAGTCGGGATAGGTGGGACAACCTCCATCACAATCAGTTCCAGGTGGTTCAGCAGAGACACCAGGGCTGAGTGGTGAGAACGTGGTTAGGGTTATTTCTTCAATACTGCTATTTATGCACTCTACTCAAACTGAGGTCATGAAAACTAAGAGCATGTTGAATCACTTCCGTTCTTTAATGCCTGCAAATAAATGAGTGTTGCCTTCAACTAAACAGGCCCAGGTTTTAGACTAAGTCAATTTCATCAAAATATCATTATTCTTCATTGCATATATTTAACTGACATTTGTTGGTGGTGTGCCGTGAGATTTTTCTAAGTTAAGATATAGGGTGTGTCTAAAAAAATGAGAAAAAAATAGATTCTGTTAGTGCTTAGTGCAGATGGCTAGATGAAATATTGACATTACATTACCTGAAGCATATCCAATCATGAAGAGTACGTACACCAGCAGAAATCTGAAAAGATCTTTAAAAAGAATCTTAAAAAAAAACAAAAAAAACAAATAAGACCACGTATAACAAATGAATGGTGATATTTAGTTGTTGATGAATTCTCTGCCACAGTAACTGACCTTCTGTATCATGATGCTGTATGTGCCGGTGAGCTTCAAGCCTCTGGTGAAGTAAAGTGTGTTCATCCAGCCCAGGACAAGTGCAAACACCATCACAGACACATACGCTTTAATGCCAGACAGGTAGAGAGCAGCTGTGACTACAATCAGTACAGAGTAGATGAAACTACAGGGGACGGAGAACGAAATATTGTTATTAATGACAGAAAGATGCACAATTTAGTGGCTGTCGATGACTTATTATACTTTGTTCTGATTATAGAATGAATCTAAGGTGTAAAACTACAACATGTGCCTCGTAGATGTGACAGAAATTAGAGGATGAGATTTGGACGAGCAAAAGGAAATAAGGGAGACGGGGGACTTACTACAACAGCTGAAAAGATCCATCAATAAATAAAGACCTCACACCCGGACACTTCTTCAGGAAGACATCTTTGATCTGAGAAATTAAAAAAAAGCCTTATCAAGCAGGTGAATGATGAAAACAACCTGCTGCCAATTCATAAAAACAATGACTTACATTGGTGAGGAAAAAGAAGATTCCTGACGCCAAGGTGATGATCTCCCCAGCCATGCGCAGGTAGTCAGAGGATGATTTGTACAGGTAAGGAGGCTGGGAGGAAGCAAGGCAGGAAGAAGGGTAGGTAGAAAGGAAGGTAAAAGGAAAGATAACATTGTTACCATTGAAACATTGAGCATTGGTGGAACTTTCATGAAATTATGGTGTCAACAGTGGCACTCACTCATTTGAGTTTGCGACCTCGGATCTAGACTAATCAAAATTTGTTACACTCTGTGCCCACATAATGTTCCATTTTTTTCTTAATCAAACCTATCCCTTTTTGGCAGGGGGTGGGAGTGTGTGACATTATCAGAATGTGACATATGGGCCATGAAAAAGCCTTGATTTATTATTGAATATTTGTCAAATAATACGGTGTTCATCGTATAATAGTAATATTTTCTTGTCCTTGTGCTAATTGTGCAAAGCTAAAAGGCTAGCTCATAGTCTCTATCCTAAATGCACTACACACCACAGTTTTGTACACAGTGTATTTACTGTCTATCTTAGAAAACCCACACACTGCAAATAACTACTTTGCTGTTGTGGTGTGGACTGTATAAATAGCCACACAGCGTGAGAACAATCTAGCTTTACAGTTTTCAGTTTCACACCCACTGTTCCATGTGTGGGGTGGTAATAAGCCACCAGGGTGAAGATGATCATGGTGATGAGGTACGAAACCACGCTGATGTAGAAGGTGACTGCAGCAAACTTTTGCCATTTGGCTCTCAGCAGCTCATTGATGGGCTCCACTGCCAGCATCTCATGACGGTTCTAACAATCAGAGCAGAAATACAGAGTCATAGAGGAAAATACTTTTTTTTTTAATCCTAAACCCATTACATTTTCATTATCTTTAAAAGGACGAGATGAAACAATGGACATGCTTACCAGTTTGTCTGTTTGTAAGCAGAGAAACACAAAGCAGTCAAAAATGGATTTAATTGAATTTTCTAGTATTGACAGAAACATTTTTCACTTTCAGAGACATTTCTGAAACTGTAACACATGCACAATTTATTTGATAACTATCTCTGTCAGAGAAGGAAGGTTTTGACATTTTTCTTAACTAGTGTGTAAATGTTAAACATTGAACAGTATTTTGTTGAAACAGCTTTGTCTTTGGAGTAGTAAGTAGTGGGATCACATTATGACATTGTATTTGCTTTTCTTCACCATCGCTGATGATGAAGGTAGTGTAATATTTCTAGGTGGAGCTACAGTAGCTGATTTGATTTGTTAAACTTGAAGTTTATGAGAAAGTTTCTGAGTGTTGCCTTATAGGTAATGCTTATTGCTGAATGAAAATTTCTTTTAGTGCTCATGTAGACTACAAAAGCACAATAGAAGTAAAGAAAATGTTTAATACACTTATTGTGACACCAATGGCAAAAATGAAAATTCACCTCATTTCGACTGTTGTAAACAAGAATTTCAAGCACGGAGGGTTCTTCTCCACACGTGTCCAGGAAAGACAGATCGTAAAGAGAGGAGTAGACCGGACCGTAGGCCCAGTCCTTAAACTTCCGAGACAGATGACGAACTTCCTCATCTTTAATCTCCCGTCTGATAATGTGTTGAAAAATCTAGAGAAATTTGGAAACGCTGCTAAATGTTGTTATATAAATTAAAAAAAAATGTTTTTTCTAACTCTTTACTTACCCCTATTTTTCCTAGTTTGGCAGCCATCATGAGAGGAGACATGCCATCGCTGTTGAGCACTGTCTCCAGACTGCATTCTGGGTAGAGCTTTGCACTTTTGATGAGCAGCAGATCGTACATCTTGGTGAGAAAACGTGTGTTGTCCTTGGTGTTGTCTGCAATGTGAACCAGGGCATGCAGTACTGTGTTTCCACGTGAATCCTGGCGTCGCAGGTCGGCCTTCTTGTGTGGGTTTTCAGTCAGGTAGTGCACAATGTCAGGCTGGTTAGTGCAGGCAGCCAATGAGAGCGGCAGCTCACCTGGATAAACAGAAACACTACAGTTATTCAATCCATATATGCAATAGGAGCTGCTAATGACACATGTATGTTTCTGAGTTTCTAAACAAAGAAGATCAAAGATGTGACTTAAATCCTCGTCATGAAAGGAGCACAATTAGCAGTTGTTTAAGGGAGGGGCGCAGAGAGGCTCCCGGTACCAAAGGCAGCAGCTGAAAATGAGCAGTTGCCATGGGTGACAGATTACTTTGTCACCTCACATAGAAAGGCTCGTCTTCACGGATTTGCACGGGTGCATGCAGAGTGTTAGCGTGAGTCTAAATCCCATTAGCTGCCAGCTATGCCAGGTTCCCCGTTCACCTCACTGCAAAGCTCTCCAACAATTTACTCTCAGGACACACTGGCAGTTTAAAGTGACAACCATGCTAAGTGAAAATAGAAATTGTCTCCTATATGCCACGACTGGAGAATTTAATGCATTAATGATATCAAGTAAATCGTTTCTGAAAAGGGGTTGGGTAAAGAAATACAGCAATAAAGGTTATACCTTCAACCATAGTGCACTATGGTATTTAATGAAAACGTACCATAGAAAGAAAATAGAGCTAACAAGAGCCCTCTAACTAGAGTTATAATTTAAAAAAAGATATAAAGTCAGTTAGTTAGTAGGTGTTCAGCACTATACTCACTAGCAGAGTGCACCATCACCTTGACCTGACTGTTGTATTTGCCTGCTGGAGCAGGACCTACATTGTCTTTGTTTACTAACACTTTTATTCCACAGTGCTTCCCCTTCCACTGCTTTTTTGGGGTGTGAGTGTTTTTTAGTGTGAACCAGATTCATCTAGATGCAAGTTCCTGGTGTTGCAAGATCCGTAGTAGAATAATCCAGAGGAAAACTATTGATGTTGGTGCAGGATATTAGGGTTCAAATCCCTGGTTTCACATGAGGTTGGTGCTTCATTGTTACATTTTGTGCATTTTTCTTCTGAAGATCATGTACAACTTACATACACCATTGTGGCTGTAAAAATGCAGGTCCCACAAACCTCGGGATTTGAACCCTGGTCTCCGGCACCAGTATCAGAGGTGTTATCCTCTGAGCTATTCTGAAATCCTTGACATTGTCCAAGACATTAGCAATGCAGTTTACTTACTGTATATTTCCTGACATAAAATAAATAAATACAAACCCATCGATTGCTTTAGGCATGATTTATTCATTTTAATGGCCTGGTTCTTTATTCTATAAAACACGTACTGTATCCTTAACATAGAAATCAAGCGACCTGACGGTAGTCATTCTCAGGAAAAGCCAACAGAGGGCAGCGTTGTATTTAACACAGTAAGGTTTATTTATACTTCTTAGTATATAGTTCAGAGCAATCCCCACCTACAGTGAATGTTTACTTTTCTTCACTGCAGAACACAGACACCTTTCACTTTAAGAACACATGACCTAATGCCTTTTTTTGAAGCACAATAGGAAAACTGTTGAGATGGAAACAGAGAGTGCAAGGGTGGGGAATAGTGTCCCTTCCATTCTGACTAACAGTAAAAAAAAGTTATTAGGCTGGTGAGTGAGGTAAAAATCATTTTTCTTGGCAGCTGATTATTTCATTTCTGCCAACTCGATGATTTAAAAGACAGAATACTGCTACTGTACTTATGAGTTTAGCAGGAAGTCTAGCTTTAAGGCAGAACGAGCCGATCGAAGCAGGAAAAAAAGAGACTCATATGTCATAGAAATCTCAGGCACACCACATCATCTTAAAGGCATGAGACAGAAGACAACGGAAACAGCTTTTCATGACTTAGTAAGAATGTATTTTATCATTAAAAGTCTGTGTATAAATAGAAAACATTAACTCAGAATTACCAGAAGCTAGGAGCTAACAAGGGTCCTTACCAAAGTAAAAGTATCCCCCCTCATCCCTAGGCTGGAAGAACCGTCCTCTGGCCTGGGCATGAACATCAGCTCCCTTCTCTACCAGTACCTCCACGTACTGCTTACAGCGACGCTCTATAGCAATGTGCAGGGCTGTTTGACCTGAAAAAAATACAGATATATTCTGTTTAATCTACAGCTGAAGACCTGGTAATAAGTGTCTTGGTCACACATAAGGCTAATATTGGTATGGTAGAATCATCAGTATTTAAAAAAAAAAAGTTTATATCAGTAAATGAAAAGTGTTTCCTAAAAGTCAGAATAATGGTTAACTGATGCTCACATCACGTGTATTGGTGTGCGTGTGTTGATGTCAATGTAAAAGACTGTTTATTTATCAATACAAGCAGTTTCTAAGTGAAAAAAAATGACCTTTGCTTTTATCTTAAGCCTGGAAATGAAACAATAATAAAAATCTAAATAAAGCTGTCATTTAGATTTAACTAACGTTAACTGAAACAACAGCTTTAATCCTCCTTTACAAGACGTTCTCTCATGATTTCCTATTTATTATGTCACATCTGCGACTGTTTGTTTAATTGCGCTGTTAGTTGGTCTATAAAAAGTAGAACGATGGAAAAACTGTCAGTTGTCTCTGTAATTAAAAAATGACAAGACTTATTTGTGAAAACAGAGACAACAACTATATTCATGTCACCATTGCTAGTTACAAACAACAACAATGAGCAGCTGACGTGTTGACTTGTTGCGGCTCCAATTCCTACCTCTGTAGTAGACATCTCTGAACGGTGAATTGATGAACTCTCTGAGGTTTCCAGTCTTCTCTGCGATGTCCAGCAGCAGTGGGATGGTCTCGTTCTGACCTCCGTAAAGGTTCATCAGGGCTTTAGGCAGACATGTCTTACCTGTAGAGGGCTCTGGGACACAAATGATAGATTACAAATGAATTAATATTGGTGAAAATAGGATAATTTTGATGATTTGCCGGACTCATCTAGTTTATTATAGTAATCTCATAAAAAATATATTTTCTTCTGCTATCAACATCACAACGTTCTTCACTTTATACTGTACATTAATCTTCTCTGTGCTTTTTTTCCATGATGTATAGTATGGAATAATATAGTTTAATACTTTATTTAACATATATTTAACCCACTTATCTCTATGCTCTATCCACTATGCTTGTTTAACTTTTATTAATTTATGTTTTTTAAACTGCCTGGGTAAACAGCCACTGCCAAATGTAGTAATTTAAAATGTAATACACTGTACATGTTCACTGATAATATAATACGGGATGATAGGAAGGGTTGTGGGAAATGTCACATTCAGGGTTCAGAATAGAATGGACAGGAGTCAACAGAAGCACTCTTTATCTTAAGTGTCTAGTAAAAATACGAAGAGTTCTGCCAAAGTCTCTCAGCGAGACGACAGTTTGCTGTGATATTTCTCTACTCCTCATTATGATCCTGAAGGAGAACCACTCAGTGTGACAGGCTTTTGTGGGACAAAGACTGTGACCACACTCCACCTTTCCTTCTCACATCCTCTCAGCAGAAAATAGCAGACAGGAGAGAGGGGTTTGCTCAAAGGTCAAGGGGCAATACGCCCAGATGAAGTCAGTCACTTCAGGATAAAGGCCTAGCAGAGACCTGAGGGACAGATATTAAACACAGCAAACAGTAGCAACTAGTGACTGAAACTGCAGGAAAAGTAAAATAAGTTCTCTGTGTTGGATCAATGTAACAGCTACAGAAATAAAAGTGTTCACATTAACCGGACGTTAATTTAGGATTGCAATTACTTTTCTAATTCTAATGACAGCAAATGTTGTAAGAAAAGCTGACTGTATTTCTTCAGTTCAGCTGATGATTGTTAACTGAATGTATGTGGGAACCAGAGACTTTGGCTGAAAACATTAACGAGGGGCCAACAGTAGCACGTGCCCCATTTGCCTATGTAACAGAATATAAGACTAGAGATGTAGCAGTACTACAATATAGGTTGGGCTTTGAGGTACTTCATAATAATTCAATGATGTTAGACATACTTTTTAAACAAACTTTAAATTTGCTTTTAAAGAAAATTTATAAAATATGACTTAAATTAATCATTTTGATTTATTTTCAATTTACAATGGTACACTGAATATGAATGATTAGAAAATGAACAAGTGTGTTCAGAATTTAACTTTGTGAATTTAGTGAGTTGTTTTGCTAAAAAAAAACAAAAAAACTTTGTTGTTGTTTCTAAATATATTAAATTTAGTTTTGACCTTTTAGTTAATTTCTCTGATCAATACCATTGCACCTTTACTCTACATTTACTCTAGTGAGCCCACTTCAGACACACACACAAGTGGGTAGTGGAAGACACAAATTTGAATGATGTAGTAAATGCTCTTATACATAGAGTCTGTGGTTGAGGAAGGCTTAGTTGACCCAACCATTACTGTCTCACCTTTGAACTCTTCATCAGTTAGTCTCTTGCCGTGAGTTTGAAGGTACTCCAGCAGGCCTTCCAGGGCTCCGGGGTCTCCACGTGACACACAGTCAAAGAGCAGTGAGCGGTTGAATGTTTTTACCACCTTCGGTCGGTCTGAGCTCGGGTCATCTTCTGCAGACGTCTCAGTTTTTCTAAGAAGACACAAAAATTAGGGCCTGATTATCATTTCCTCTAATATACTGATGACCTTGAACCCTGAACTGACCGCCTACTACTAATTCACTCACACATTTCAGTGCTTTGGTAAATTGACCTGTATGTGTAACGGACCAGGCAGAAACAGGCAGCAGCCTAAATATTACCTCAACGTCTGTTGGGGAACCAACAACATGTTCTCTGTTAGATCAGACTAGGGGCTGCATGAAGGAGAGCAGTGTGTGTTTGTGTGTACACACTTCCCCATGTGGCACTCCTCAGTCTACAGAGCGGCCATTGTGGAAGACTCATATTGTGCTGACTGCATTTCTCCAAACTGGTATTTTTGTCTCTGGCAAAAGGTCCAGTGTAGCTCACTACTGTTTGGACAAAAAGTGATTCTCTGAGCAAACATGTTTTATTTCCTACATCTCCCCTTACCCTCTTGGAAGCTTCTTCCTGCGTCTCTTCTGGTTGCTCATGTGTCCATAGGTACCATAGTCAAAGAGTGAGTCCATGGGAGCTTTTTTGGGCCCTTGGACGACATTGGACTCATATATTGTAGATTCCAGTAGGTCCATTGGATTGGAAATGCCCTTCTTAAAAGCACCCTGGAATTTCATCCGTAGGTTTTGTCTACCGTCTGTTGATTGGCCCGGCTGAACCAGCTCTATGGTGGAATCCTGACTTGTGTCCTGGGTTGAGGGAGTGGCATCCTCACTCTCAAACAAGTGTGAAAACTCCGACAGGGGAAACACGGTATCAGAGTCCAGCATCTGAGTGGGCACACCATCACCCGCGTCCTCCGAGACATTAGACGTGGCCGAAACAGAAGTCAAGGTGTCAGCCTTGGACAAGGCAAGGTGGCCCCTTCTGAAGAGAACAGAACGACCCTGAAAAAATACAATGATATAGTTCTGGATACAGTTCTACAGAATATTTGGGTAACCAAGTCAATGCTGTACCAAAACTGTATTAATACAAAAATAATTTCCAAAAAATGTAGTACATTATCCGAATGTGAAAAAACATTTTAGGTACAAACACTTGAGGTGTGACCCCCATCCCCCTCCTTGCACCTCATTCATCCCTTTTATCACAATGGTGTGTGAAATTCCTGGTCAGCAGAAAGAGGCAGTGACACTGCTGCAGCATGTGGTCTCCCTGTGTGGAGACAGAGAAGAGACAGTCTCTTCTTTAGATTCCTGACACACAGGTACAGACAAAAACAATCTCTGTGTAAGTAAGACATAAGAGCTCTGTCATTTAGGGGGGAAATCAGCAAAGGGCCAATGCCAAAAGCAACAAGGGCAGTCGTCTCATTGGTCAAAAAACTTGTTAGATCTCAAACGTAGAATCGCACCACCCGTTTGACACCAGGCGCATGGAAAGACCACGGCATGAATTACTTATTATGAGGGGCTTGCAGAGCTGAGTCTTTCTGAGCTTCAAAGTCTCTCAGTGTCTTCAAACACACTCTTCACACCGTGTTATCACAAGAGCACCAGTATAAAACAACATCCTCACGACCCTCCTGTGCATCCTCTCCAGTACTAGTCTTTCCTGACTTTGTTCATGACATTGACAGCTGATGTAGCCCAGACCCTGCTGTTAGGAGTAACATAAACAGGGGAGCAGGGGTCCGGCAAAAAAAAGGTATGACTCATACCCCAGTCTAATACGTTGGATTATCATACCTTTATACTTCAGCAGGCATTTGATAGTAAAACAGACAAGAGGAACAATGGGAGTCTGGCCTTTCCAGGCTGTTATAACAGGGTCTACAACAGAAAATGAAGTCGTTCTGTGGAGGGAAAGCTCTGTGTTTTAACTGTCAAGGTGACAGGGTCTGAAAATAAAATATCATGTAGGAGATGAAACTCAGATACTTTCAGCTATTGGTTCAGGAAGCTTTAATTAACTTGTTAAGGATTCTAATTGTGTGACGCTAATGTGTCCTCTGAGCTGTTGGATTTCCTGTTCTGTGGCTGCTGATGTGACATTATCCATATCAAAACAGAGAACAGAGGATCCTGACAGTCTACGTACAGAGAGAGTTTTCTTTAGTGTTACCCTGAAATGTAATAAAATATAAATTATACACTAATGTAAACAAACACAGTAGATCCCTCAGTAAAAAGAAAAATATTAGATATAACAATCCTGGAATAATTCCACTGGATTTATGTTGTCTCAATGCAGTAATGTACTGTACAGTACTTCACAATTCTTATAATCTTATAGGTGTGATTATAATAACCTGAATTTAATCCTGGAGATCGGTATAATTCAACTTTTTTTCAAATAATGAATAATAATGCTCCTAATTTTTTAACATACCTATCTCCAATAACACAGTACATGATACTCACAAAATGAATCCCCAAACTAATACAGAGCCTTCCACTTGTTTGACAGGTTTTGTTCACTGATGTGTTTTTCAGTTGATGTCTTGTTTCTCTCTGCTTATTTTTTGTTATTCTTATTTTATTTTTCTGGGCTTCCACTGTCCTTGAACGTTATCCATCTAGATATAACCTGAAATTGCCTGTGCAATAAGTATTAGGGGACAGGGGGATTAGGGAATTATATATCAGTAGATTTTAGGCTTGTAAAGCTGACTATCCTTTGATATTCCTGCTATATGACCACATTTTAAAGAAATACAAAATTAATCTCTGAATGAACAGGGAAATGGCGAATAAAAGAAAAAAAAATTTATTGTGAACTTTAAAAAAATGTTGTAACCCCTTATTTAAGGTTCGAACTTTTTTTTATTTTATAAAGCAGTGAAGAAGTTGCCAAGTGGACTTGGGTTCAAGAAGACATTTCTTTTCTTATCTAAGAAGCTTCTTCAGTTCTGGATAAAATGTCCGGGACGACAGAGAACGTACACAGATAATCGAAACGTATTGCCTAAATTGTCAACCACATTTAAGTAACAGAATACCTAGGGCAGCTCATGACACACACAACTGTAAATACATATATTTATATATATATATATATATATATTATTTTTTTACATTTTGACCAAAGTTCAGACTTCTGTCCTACTCGTAATTGCTATGAGATTTAAATATATATATAATTACAGAAGAAACAGACTTACCTTGATGTAAGTTTGACCTTTGTTGTCTTTTAACAAACGTCCATAGTTTGAAAACTTTCACACCAAACCAGTTCGTCTAAACGGACTTCTTCTAACGGTGGCTCCTCTCCGCTTCATGTGTCCGCACAAGTCCAACAGAACAACGGATGCTTTCACGGCATTAGGGTGGGACAACGTTGCCTCAAGTAAGAGCCAACAAAAAAATTAGGCCGAGGTGCCGGTTACGGCCACTGGGCGCTGCTAATGCAGCGTCTATTCGTGTTATGGACTTCTCCATGTCTTGAGTCTGTACAAGACAGAAACACACGGCCTGTGTCTGTTTAGCACTGGTCTTAGTGGGAATGCATATGTTTTTTATTTTAAACTTTGTAGAGAGTAGGATAAAAACAACGAGCACATGACTTGTTATACATACAGTAGTTTACTTATTGCAAACTATTTTTAACAGTGCAAACCACGCAAAATATATTAATCTCAACAAGAAAAGGCATCACATGCAAGCATTCCAGGGTATACACCTAAAACAACATGTAGTAGACAATAACACCAAACTATATCCAGCTTTCTGTGCTTCTGTGGCCTTTTTGTTATTTATTTTACACAAATTATAAGCTACATTTTGTGCTTTTTGATTATTATTATTTTTGTCTGATTTCTTTTAATAGTGTGATGGATTGGAGCCAATATCTAAGTCATGTAATGTAGTAGCAGATTTAGAAGAAAATATTTATGGGATGGTAGTGAGATGTGCTATGATGTGCAGTTTGAAGACAATGGCACTGACTCAATGTTCAGAAGGCTGAGCTGTAAGGGAGTGCAGCTAAGGTGCTGATATTTTATTTATACTCATGATCTAACAACATCTTGAACAGGACAAAAATATGATGCCCAGAAAAGGTCTCAGACAGCAGCGCATAAAAGTCGAATAAAGGACTCACCAAACATGTTAAAAGCACCCTGTGAGTGAGTTATGACAAACACACTTACAGTTAACTGTCAGATGGTTGTAAATGAGCCAGGTCTGTTTGTACAAGAGTCGAATGTAGAGTGTTTGTTTGGAGGAGAGGTGAGGGAAAGTGGGACAGCCAGCAGTCAGACTTTGTAGTCAAGGTCGGCATTCATCTTATTGTACATCTCATAAATAGTATCAACAGTTGCAGAGAAGTTGACAAGAAATTTTTTGATTTTCTCCATGCATTCCTCTTCCTTGACATCCCGACCTTTGGAGAGGGCCCTCAGGAAATCAGACTTGTATGGAGCAGCATAAAGAGCTGCCTACAAATAAAAAGTCACATTAATACATCACTGCAGTGATTTTCCAACGACTTTGCAGGTCGAGCTAAGACATAGTTGACGTAGAAATGTTAAAAAAAGACCACACCTTGAAAAGCTGTTGCACAAACCAGCTGTGATATCTTCTCAGAGCTATTTCATAGGCTTTGGTGACATTGGCTTGAATGAGGTTTGGGTTATTGTCGTCCTTTTCACCGTCCACAAGGCTCTGAAGGAAGACTTGGATAAATCGTAGACCCCTAGCGGTAAAACAAGGAATAACAAGATGAACCTAAACAGCATTATCAACAATGTATATATAGACAGGTGAAGTTTCTAAGACCTTTTCAGCCACATGAGAGCCAATGTTGCTCCAACTCTGGGCCACTCTGCTCCGTACATCTCCTTCTCCGCCTCCACCATCTGCTGTAGGGTCTTGAACCGTCCTGGGTTGGTGTCATAGACTGCCTTAATTTTCTGATAATTCAAACAAACAATTTAAACTTTAATAATAGCAGTATCACGGTCTTATTTAGCCTCCACATATTGAGGAATCGTCATACTCACTGTGATGTTCCCCGTTATGTCAGCTTTAATTGGTGAAAAAATAGTGGAACCGAGGCAGTCTGAGGACAAATGTTTACACAGGGTGTGTAAAGAACAACGTCTCATACAAATGATGTGTCATGTTATACTGTTCTTATTTAGACAGCTGACACTAATTAACGCAGCACTTCAAAAGCTGTCCAGCTTCTGGTTTGAGTAGATGTCAGCTTTTCTGTTGGCTACCATTAGACAACTCTGTATTCACAATGAACAACCAGGAAAAAACACTGAAGTTTGTCACTGACACAGGAATATCCCAGTGCACTGGGAAAAACCAGTAGATTTACAGTAACTTTCCTTCACAAGACTTGGATGTGAAAGTCATCAAATGGCAGTTCTTCAAGCCCCTTAAAAAACCATACACATTAAATAAACACAGTGTTCCATGTGCAGAGTATGCAGTATCACAGTTGTTATTATTTACATATTTTTTAGGAATTAGAAACAAAGTGTGAACCCCAGTGAATGTGAAGTCTCTTCCAGTTGTTCTAAAATAAGTTCTGGGACTGATGTTTTACCTCAGACATTTGGTTGCAATCGTACATTTTCTTTTGAGCTCTGTAACAAAAATATCAGTCAATTTTTGTGCATTGCTGCCATGAAAAAGAATGGAGAAATTGACATAAAATCTGAAAAAAAGTCATATTTAAATTTGTTAATTTACTATGAGCTAAATTTTCTCTAGAATAGTGGTACTCAAAATATCCATACCAGAGGTGGGCTCTCTCTAGTGGTACATAGGGCAATCTGGTTTCCTATTTAGCATCTTTGTTGTTAAATATATCAGTACTTGCAGTATTGAAGAAGGTGTGTACTTTTATGATTCCAATAGTTCTGTTGGTGATTATTTATTTGAAACAAATCTCCTAGGATCCACCATTGGAGTATTGTGAGTTTTATTTACTTCTGTTCCACAATATTCTATAATATTTTAACTTGTGACTTTAACAAGTTCAGTAATAGTCTTGGCTGTAGTTGTGACCCTTGAAAGCGCAGTTAATGTAGCTACTTAGGCCTAGGCTTAATTAGACCCATCCTGGCTGTTTTATCATTAGGTGTCTTTCAATTAGACCACTGTGTATTTGTTGACAACCTGTGAACAATGAGGCACAATCACTGGTGCCAACCGCACACAGGCTTCTGGCTCAGCCTCTGTCCCAGCAGACGGCTTTCAGCCCCTAAGCCGTTAGTGGAAACTACTGATGACAAAGTCCACACTGCTGTGCTGACGTGATGCATCGTCACAACTCTGAAGGCATGAGATCTGGTTTCAGACAGAGCTGCATGTTCTTGCAGGTTCTTTCTATAGTCTCCACAATGGAGATAATGCAATGTAGAGAAACAGATTAGTTCTAGTGTCTAATGCATTATAAATAAAAATATTTTTCTCTTTATTAAACTAGTTTTGAGCAGTGAAAGCCTTGCACCTGTGCGATTAAATGTAGTCTGATACCACTACAGGTGTGCTGCATAATTAAATTAAACAATTGTAATACAAAGCAGAGGAAGAGGAGAGGTCATTTAAAATAAAACTCCACACTGTGGAAGTGGCTTGTAGGAAAGTTGGCCTACAAAGCACGTAGACAACAAACAAAGATGTCAAGAAAGGAAAAGCCTGATGCTGCCAGCAGATGTCTCTCAAGGGTTTCACATAGCAAATTCAATAGAGGTCCTTTGGCATATTAATACAGAATGAAGCTACACAAAGATGCACCATGCTACCATTGAATGGGCAAGGGGAACTCAACACTATACTAATCAATTTTCACAACTTAAAATCCAGGCCAGGGGATTAAATTATGCATGCTGAAGGATTGTGGACAGCTCAATGGGCTGAAAGTTGATCTGAAAAAAGATTATCATTTAGAAAGAGCAATGCTGCTTCCTTAGACTTGGCACAAGTGCTGCGACAGATTTGCCTCACAACAGTTTTGGGTCAGTTAATCAAAGTAGAACAAATTGTAAACACAAATGTGAAACTAACAGGTGAAGGAAATGGTCGCTGTACCTCACCACAAAACCTTCTTTTTAGATTTATATGTTCAAATTGTATGTGATGAGCAGTGACGTGCGGTCAGGGGAGGCAGGGGAGGCAGTGCCTCACTTGCCATTGCGATAAAGGTTTCTGTTCCAGCCAATAAAGTGCAGAGAAAAGTCGGCAGGGGAGGCAAATAGTACTCTGCCTCACCTCAAGGGGTCGTACGTGGACAGACAGGTGCTCTACAGCTGGCGTCAACGGACAATTGAAAGTCAGCACTAAACCAGAGCGAGTAGGTGAAGAACAGCGTTTTCTATGCTCTGCCTGATCCGACTCACTATGGATTGTATTTCAAGATGTAAATATTTCTCAAAACTGGACTTTCGGTCCAGACAGAAGATGATAAGTGATGGAAGACCAACGCTGGAGCTAAAGCTTTTAGGTTAGCTTCAAACTACGGGACAAAAGAGTTGTTCTTTTTAAATGTACTGATACAAACGAACAGACTGGCTGTGTGGCTGTCCTGTAAAAAACCACCATTACTGCTTTCATTGTCTTTTATTCTCATTGTGTGATAACGTCTGGACTAACTCAGGATAATGTGACCTGAAACATTTGCAAAGAAGCCTCAGCAGACATCAAAGATCAGCCACGTACATTCAAAGACAGATTTCTTTAAAAACGTCTGGAAATTCAAGGATCGATTTGGCATCGAATGAACAATGGACACTAAACATTAGTGTCCATTAGCGTAAAAAATAAGATGGGAGTAAGTAGAAAAAATTCAAGTATTTGATAACTAACTTTCTGGCCTAATTTTTTTTTTCTTATCTAATTGATAGACAACCTTTGATTAAAGCACCAACATTTAAAGTTTATAAAATAGCTGAATTCTTAACTGAAGGTCAAAATTAAATTTGTGCTGCACTCATCTCTATATTTAATTTGTTTACAGTAAATATGAATTTCTTAGACACAAGAAGGTGGTTCTGTCTATTTGTATAAAAGAAACGTTTTTTGTAGGACATATATGTTCCTGTGTATATGTTTGTGTTGGTCTCAGTGTCATTCAAAGAGGAATGCTGATTGATCTTATTTCACCTTATTTCACTATTCATCCAACAACATCACCTGGTAATAAACCAATGAACCATCCAAGAGAAATAAGATGCTCTTTTTGGTTCTTACAATTGTAAATCTGACTCAGAGGAGTGAGTGCCTCACCAGCCATGAACCTCACCGCACGTCACTGATGCGTACTAAAATCAGACTACTTTGACTTTACTGCAGGTTACTTTGAAAGACAGGATTATTGTATCTCAGATTGCCATGACTGCCCCCCCACCCCCATATATTTGTACCTATGTCAGTACTATGTCACACTGTGGAAACTTACTGTAAGGCAACTTACCAAAAAAAGGTGGAAGGTATGACACAGCCTCCAGAAAGGGTCTTGTCTCCACCTGTCTGTCAGCTGGCAGCTGCCTGAACTGGTGCTCCATTAGCAGAGCCATGGCTTCAGATCGGACACACTCTTACCTCTAGAAAGAAAGAAACAGGCTGTCAAGTCCACCCTGCACATTTACAGTGACACCAGCAGAAAGAAAGGTGAAACTACTGTTCTCCCTGTGTGTATGTGTGTGCGCGTGTCTGTGTTTGAGTGCTATCTCTGGGGATACAACAAAAGCTGCTGTTCACTGGTTTAGGATCACTCTAGAGTTAGTTTAGGTGTAGATTAAGTCAAATCTTAGGGTTAGGGTAAAAGAAGAGCCACTGTAAGAAAAACATGTATAAGTTAGACCAGACAAATGTGTTTTATTACTGTGTCTAATGACACACTGTGTGGGTTTCCTATTTAAACTGTTTTCTTTTTAAATGCTTATTTATTTTTACACATGGACCCAGCTTGTGTCATAAACAGAGGTTAAAATCGTGATTCACTGTAAATTTTAGTTTACTAAAAGTTTACCTTTGGTTAGAATAATTTTAGGAATTAACAAGTAAGTGGTGCTTTGGCCCAGAGGCAATGTCTCTGTCATTGGTGTGGAACCCCAGGGTTCACCTCCTGGACAAGTTCAAATCCTGGTTGGTACTTTCCAGTGGACTCACCACCCGCAGGAAGGTTCAGGAGGGTTGGTAGGGTGCAGTGTGATTAGGGTGGCGGTCGATGAGACTGCCGACCCGGTAACGGATAAGCGGATGAAAATGGATGATTGGATTAATAGGTGAAGGTGGGAAACAGTTGCGAAGGCTTGAAAAATGCAGAAATGAAATTCATTTTCAAAATTATTCTGAAGGGAAAAGCATCACAATTATTATATAATTATAATAATTACAATTTATAATAAATATAATTTAGATCAGATATTTAAGATGTAAAAAATCAGACAAACAAAATACATGATGGGAAAAATACGTTGTTTAATTTTTTAATGTCTGGTACAAAAAGAAATCACTTCCACAGTTACCACAATAACATATGATTTGTTCTATTGTATAAAAAGAGCTAAAGAAAGGACCTTAAATAAAGACATTACAACTAGCGTTTTTTCCCGCTTCCTGATGTGATTTTAAAAGAAACGTAAATCGCGTTTTGTTTTCTTGTCTATAACCTTTTTGGTCTTAACGTTACCCCGTAGCTAGTGATGGGAAGACCGACTCTTTTTACTGATTCGGATCTTTGATCTCGAACAGTAAAATGAACGAGTCGTGAACGAATCTTGAACGAATAATTTCATTCGTTTTACAGCAGGTGGCGCTTTAGCCCTATTGTGGGCGTTGGAAAGAAGGCTGCGGTTCTCCGACACTAAATACTGAAGGCAACATGGTTTGCTTCCACTGACAAAGTCTATAAAGCACGCAAAACGCCATAAGCAATTAAATCACGTGAAAACATAAAGAAAAACACACCACAATGTGAAGATGAATGAGAGTAAGAGAGACCCGCGCTCTCTGTCACGTGACAAATGAAACGAATCTGCGAGAACGAAGCGAAAGATTAGTTCACAGAGAATGGTCCGTTCAGAGTGATTAGTTCACAGCAAAAGATTAGTTCACAGAAAATGATTCGTTCACAGCAAAAGATTAGTTCACGGCGAAAGATTAGTTCACGGGGAAAGATTAGTTCACGGCGAAAGATTAGTTCACGGCAAAAGATTAGTTCACAGAAAATGATTCGTTCACAGCAAAATATTAGTTCACGGCGAAAGATTAGTTCACCGAGAATGATTAGTTCACGGGGAAAGATTAGTTCACGGCGAAAGATTAGTTCACAGAAAATGATTCGTTCACAGCAAAAGATTAGTTCACGGAGAATGATTCGTTCACTTCGAAATATTAGTTCACAGCAAAAGATTAGTTCACGGCGAAAGATTAGTTCACAGAGAATGATTAGTTCACGGGGAAAGATTAGTTCACGGCGAAAGATTAGTTCACAGAGAATGATT